TAGATGCTGCTGTTAGCGGCCAGCTTGTTAGCCTCTGACAGCTCAGAGATGCGCTGCTCCAGGTTCTTCATCTTAGAATCCATAGCATTAATGGTCTGCAGGCAGAGGGAGACACACAGAAAAGATTATATTCCCATTGAAAGAAAGCTAAATGCTAAGAATCCAGGTACAAATACAGTATATGTCAGCAGCCCTTTTTGGATTTGAGAAACTGAATTTTGCACTGCAGTCAAATCCTGTTTAAGTCCATTAGGTGTTGCCTGAATCTTCTACATTCAACGTCAGATGACTGTCTCTAAAAGCTCCTTAACTGCCTCATTCTACCACGTTAACCAGATTAAGACTTGAGCTCAGGCTTTATAGTGCAACGTAAAGTATAATCTGACGGCACACATACATTTCAGCCACTATAACAAATGACTGTGGAAAGAAACACAATACACATTGGTGAAGTCTAGCTTTTGAATCCCTGAACTCGAATAGAATATGAATGAGGGACAATTTCCTTCACCTTTTCAAAACAGCTTTTAATCAGTTATGTTTTAGATATTTTGTGTTGTTTTCAATGGTGTTTTTAAGAATTTGAAGTGTCATGAAGAGCACTCTAGAAATAAAATGTATTATTATTCATAATGATATTGATGCTGTTCCTACTATTGCAAAAGGAACCGCTGAAGTACTCTTTGGCATTACAAAGTGAAAACAATTGCAAAACTTTAAATATTTTTTTAGGCAGTCTTTTTTTTAAATCCCACCTCAGCAGAACGTACAGTAAATGGCAAAGAGCACTGTTTTGCATACATTGATTTAATAAAAAAAATATGTGGTGGTCTAATGTGTAGTGAGGTGAGGTGGGCTGGTGATCGGAAGGTTGCGAGTTCAAATCCCGCCTGGAACACCACTACTAGTGTGCCCTTGAGTAAGGCACTTAGCCCTCAGTTACTCAGGGAGAATGTCCCTGTAATCAGTCATTGTAAATCGCTTTGGAATGAGGCGTCTACTAAATGTAAATTATATTTTTGGGAGAATAAACCCCACAGATCCTCCACTCCGGTGTGTCTCACTCATTAACAACGCAACACGGAGCAACAAGAACGTTGTCTACAGTAGCCATGAACTCACACATGTATTTTCTCATTTGAGGGGGGGGTGGATGCGTGGGCCACCCGAATAGGTTAAGGGGCCTTAGGCTTTTCTTGCCGGTGGGAAACACTGAAGAGGATATATTTGTTTAAAAAGCCTGAAGTGTTTCCTTACAGCTTTCTGTTCACTGAGCATCTTGCAGTTCTCTCTGGACTCCTCCTGCTGCTGGGCTTTCTGGGCCTCCAGGCTCTCTTTGTCGGCCAGGTCGTCCTTCATCTGAGCCTCCAGAACCTTCATCAGACAGAACCAGCAGAACAATTAAGCACACAAATATCTTTCATTTGCTTTGCATTGAGGCAATGATTAAAACAAATGCTCAAACTGTCATAGTTGTGAATGGGAGCAGTAATTAGTGTGGTGTCAAAAGCACACTTTGAAGCGTTTGACAGCTCCGATTTATATGACTCCACAAGAATGGTTTAAAGTGGCAGGACTGACAAAACATTTCTAGAGATGCAACGTTTCAGGAGCCTGGACAATAGAAATGTAACCCACCTTGATCTTGTCCTCATAAAGTCTCTCCTTCTGCACCAGTTGGGTTTCCATCCTCTGGGCTGTGGACTGAGCATCCCTCAGGTTCTCCTCCAGCTCCTGGAGGGGGCAGCGTTCAAAACAGGCTCAACAATGGAATCGTTTTTCACAGGGCAATTTAAATGCAGCTTTTTTCAAGCAAAATAACACAATATATTTCTCCCCTTTGTTGAGTTTTATGTCAGAGTTCATACACTTTTTCACCAATGATTTTCAATGATTTTCAATGACTTCTCCAGGACCTTTACCTCATTTTCCATGACCAAAAAAATTACTCTTTCTCAGCGGTAACACTGAACATGTTTTATTTTAAAATGGAACAGGAAAATAAGGTCTGCATATGAAACATGTTGTGCCTATCTATCTAAAACAAATCAAATAGTAGGCTTACTAGCTTCTACACGCTAAAGCCACTAAAATCTCTCACCAGCAAAATACCTCGACAGTTAAATGCCATTTTACGTTTCATTACTATACGATACACTATTTATTATCATTATAGTATTACTATTTCGGTGATTAGATAAAATATAAATTATATTTGATGCAACTTTAGTTACATTTCCATGACTTTTCCAAAACTTCAGGGCCTGGAATTAGCATTTTGAATTTCCATGACTTTCCCAGGTTTTTAATGACCCCAATCTATGACAAAGGAACAAGTTAAATTCAGTGAAGAACTCTTTACAAACACCAGCCCGGAAATACAATAAGAATATAGCCGACACATTCCGTCCCTCCGTCTTTGGGAACCTCTTGGTTCCATATTCTCCGACCTCTCTACCACCTTCGCCGCCCTCTTATTTCGACTTTCTACTGTAAGTCTGGTTTAGGGGCGCTAGGTCGGTTCTACCGACTTTCTTAGGACAACTCTTCTTGCCGTGTCTATTCGGACGATTAGTGAGACTGGGAAGTTTGAGGCATTAAGGGGGGGGGGGTAAAGTAGAAACGAGAGAGAGTTCAGATGAGGGAGAGTCAATAAGAAGTCGTGTGGTGAAGACAAAACTTCTCGAGAAAACGATCTCTCTGGACTACCTATGAAAAATGTATGTGTAGAAAAATGGGCACAGTAGTACTCGTCTGTGCGTGGTTCGTCAAAAACCTCACGGCGAAAAAAACTACGTTTCAAAGAAGTAACAGAGACAGTAAAAATACACAAAACTATTCTCTCATATTTAATTATCTTTCTTTAATGGAGACAACAATTCATCTACAACGGTTAAACAGAAAACATTTTAGGCGCGGAAATCCGATGTAATTCGTCCGTCGACTCTACCCAACAACAACATTGACGTAAATAATGTAATTACTACTAAAACAAAAACAAGCAAGTAAAAAATAAATACCAGTAGGCATAGGTTTATAACAAAAATAAGTCACATTATTTAACGGCGTATCCGTTTTAAGGGGGGTTTTCATTAACCCGTGATATGGTCCCAAGGAATGCCACGTACCCTAC